GGGAGCAGGCAGTGTGAACCCCCATCCCTTGCTCTCCCACACCTTTCTTCCCATGCTGTCACCCCTCCATCCCTTGCTGCCTTGATTCCCCACTCCCACTGCTACCCCACGAACAGCACGGGTCAGGAATGCAGCAGCAGTGTGTGCTGCTGCCCCATCTCCCCAACATGCACTTTTGCCCTATCCTCTGCCTGACTCCCCACACAATCCCTGACCCATGCTGATGCCCATCCCTCCACCTGATCCCCCACCCAAGCTGCCACCTAATCCTGGATGCTAGCCCTGGCCCCTGACCTACACTGACCACATTGCTGCCGACTCCATGGCCCCAGGTAGCAGCAGTTCTGGCTCATGTCCCAGGGCAGAGAGCTGGAGCCTGATGCTCACCTCATCTTGGATTCAAGTACATTAGATATTACAGTGCTTAATTTCCTTGCAGAGGGGCTGGGCCCCTCAGTGGGGGTAGGGGATTGGGCAGGCAGGAACATGCGTGAGTCTGTGCTTATCTGCTTACCTCCCCATACCTCAAGATACCCTAGTTAAGAATCAGCATAGTAGAGAAAGGCTGATACACAAACAATTTAAACTGTTCCTTCCATCTTGCCTGCCTTGGCAGGGGAACATGGTGTAGACAAACCTGACTTCCTCGGTGTTAGCTAGTTAGATTCACAGCAGCTCCTCACAAGCCTCTTTAGTCTTCACAAATCTTAACAAATACGTTCTCTGGAGACAGTCACCTTGCTCTATGGCCTTTTTTCAGGTAGTAAAGTGATGCTTTCTAGATATTTGTCATGAATAAAGACCTTCTTTATTTGTTACGTCTGTATTTTAAAGGTCTGAGCACATGACAAAACAAGGACTGGAATCAACAGACCTCTACAACCCTGCTCGCCTTTGCAGGAGTCCTCAGGAAAGTCGATATACTTGGCTCTTAGCAGAGTGCGGCCTGTTCATTCCACAAATGCTAGGTCACATTGAAACACATCTCTGTGTGCATTGAGTTTAACTGAGAGAGATTCTTCTAGGCATCTGCTAGTTTTAGTCTCTTGCATACAAGTCTCAGTTTTCAGTCAATCCATTGGATTACTTGCTCCTGTTAAAGGGTGTCAGGGTGTTTCTTCTGCAATATGTTCCAGTCATTTACACAGAGCATCTGATCTTCTGAAGTTAAATTCCTAAATAGGTTTCAGTTCCAATTATCTGAAGCTTATTTCTAATTAAACTGAAACTAGATTAATTGCAGTGCATTTGTTTAAAAGGCAGCACTTCGGCACTCAATTTATCAAATGATTAATTAGTCAGGCAACAGCCATCCCTGATGCTCTTGAGCACTCAACCCTCGTATCCAGTTTCATTCATGCTGCCTGCTCCATGCAGGTCAGTGTTTCACACTAGAGCTTATCACAAGATGTTTCAAAAGTTGTGACCAGCTGTGGGGCAGACACTGACACCACAAAGGGATGAGAAAGATAAATACCCACAAGCTTTAAAAATACAGGGATGATGCTTTAAAAGTATTTAGCTCCACCAGAAACCTAAAACCAGTACTTTACCTAGGGCAGGGAGACCTAGGCAGTTGCTTCAGGTGCCAACTTGAGGGGGTGAAGGCAGAGGAGAGAAGGGAGTGAGGAAAAAAAAGTAAATTGTTGCCACAGCCACGCAACTGCATCAGTGGCATGACAGCAAGTGGAAGTTGCTGTTGCCCATGTGTGTGGCACATACCCCAGGCATGTGGTCTTGTAAAAAAACAACTACAAAACATAAGTTGCAACAATTCCCATAGCAACTTCATAACAACACAGGTCCCCAAGACATTTTTCAAGAATGGAGCAGATATTTTGGGGATTTGTCCACACTTGGCTCCTCCCCCACACAATAAACATGAAGTTTTTAGACATCCCAAGGCATGGGGTACTGGGAGGGGGGGGGGGAGAGATTGACCAATTCTGGGGTCCCAGGACTTCTAAAAGCATGCAGCTGGCAGCATTGCCTCTGCATTGCCTCCCCCACTCCCTCAAGCCAATCCTTCTCTTCCATCCAAGAGCTTCAAAATGGAAGGTTTCTGCTTGCAGTAAACACTGCAGCCTCCATTAGCTCCCAGACAGCTTTGCACACACCAGGACAGCTCCATCAGGGGCAAGTTATCAACTAAAAAGCAAGCAAGCTACCCTGCAGGGCATGTTGTGCAGCAATTTCATTTCTACCTTTGGTCTTTCTTTAAAGGAAAAAAAGAGCCACGCGTATGATCAGAGGTCAGGAAAACAGACCTTACCATGGGGCTCTTTAGCCGGGAAAAGCGCAGGCTCAGGGGTGATCTGATGGCCACCTATAAGTTTACCAGGGTGACCACCAGGATCTGGGAGAACGTTTGTTCACCAGAGCGCCCCAAGAGATGACGAGCTCGAACGGTTGTAAACTACTGCAAGACCGTTTCAGGCTGGACATAAGGAAGAAATTCTTTACTGTCCGAGCCCCCAAGGTCTGGAACAGCCTGCCGTCGGAGGTGGTTCAAGCACCTACATAGAACACCTTCAAGAGCAAATTGGATACTTATCTTGCTGGGATCCTATGACCCCAGCTGACTTCCTGCCCTTCGGGCGGGGGGCTGGACTCAATCTTCCGAGGTCCCTTCCAGCCCTAATGTCTATGAAGTCCATGAAATTAGTAACAATTACCCACGTAGCCTTGTACCACCTAACCCCCTGGATCTCCCTGGTCCTGGGGGCTTTAAAATTGCCTGGATTTATTTGGGAGTTACTGAGGACTGAATGCATCCACTGTACTGTCACTTGGGAACAACTAGGACAGATCAGATTCATGAGGTGAATTTTATAAACATATTCACTTTTTTGGGTGAGGGGGAGGTGAGTGGAGAGGAGAGGTATGGCAGCTGAGGAACATAAAAAATTAAAACTCATTTAAGATAAAGTCTTCAAATCAACAACCATAGAACATGCAGTAAAGGTATTTGAATTTTAAACTCACTTTGCTAATCACCCATTACGCCTTTGGGGGTTTCTAATTCTTGTGTTTCAGTCCAAATAAAGTACAGGAGCCTCCAGCAAACTTTGTTGTTACATCCACGATTCCGCATCCAGCACCACGCATGACTTGCATACTGAGAGAATTCAGAGCTTTGTGATTCTTGAGAGCTCTACTAATTATGCAGCAGTTCATTCATAGCCATTTCATGTCTATGAAATCTATGAAATAGTGTGTGCAGTCAATAGAATCTGGGCAGGAGGCCAACAATGCCATACAAGTCCCATCTTTTTGCTGGTGTAAAAGAGATGCTTGTGGCAAACTAAAATATTAACTAGTATTCCTGAACATTGTGCCTAACAACTGACTATAGAACAAGACATAGTACATAATGTTCCACACTGCAGCTTAAACAAATCCAGTATTAGTAGCCAAACAGACCTTTGACACCTCTGAGTTGCCTGAAAGAGTGTTTTGCAGGACAAGCCAACCATTATTAATTGTGGTTAGTGACCTCATCACTTCTACAGCTTACGATGGACTTTTCTGATGGACAACTGACAATGACACTCCCGTTCCACTTCTATAAGTTCTTATACTATGCTCATCATCACAATAATCTAGTACCTTCCAGTAAATTCAGAAAGTCTAAATATGACTAATTTCAAGAGTTAAGATCTGCTTTTTTTCATAGTGCATTAAAAAAAAAAAAAAAATCAGTCCTTCTGGATTTAATTAATTTCTCTCTTAATTTAGTTAATTTCTCTTTTCCTGCTACTAAATCAGAAAAGGGCCATAGTAGTTTAGTGACAGATGGATGAGGTGTATATTTAAATGTACATCAACTAATTAGGAACATACACCAAATGCATTAGATGCATGAAGTTTCCAGAACCAGATTTGCATTTCTGGGACAAAAAGTGATAATTTAGGCTCTCAAGTCTCATTACTGATGTTCTCCCAGACATACCATACTGAATATTAGGCACCAAAAGATGCTAAAAGTTACGATAATACTTGTTTTGTGGGGATGTGACAACCGACTCAGAGTTTTCAGAACACTACTGGCAATACCATCAGTCCTTTGACTTGCACATGCCCTCAGGCAGAGGCAATGCTGCCAGCTGCATGCTTTTAGAAGTCCTGGGACCCCAGAATGGGTCAACCTCTCCCCCTCATCCCAGTACCCCATGCCTTGGGATGTCTAAAAACTTCATGTTTATTGTGGCACCCTGGTGAACCCTCATTTAAAAATGCCTCACCCTCTAGTCCATGCAGGGGGAATGGCTGCTGGGCTCGGGGGTTGCCAAGTTCTCGGTAGGGGGAGCCTACAATCTATTTTTAGCATTAGAACAGGAGCTGTACCAGTCCTGATGTCAACCCCACTTTCCATTCTGATTGTCTGTGAGGTGAGGGAGGGAGTACTGCACCTTAGGATGCTGAAAGAACCTAGAAAAGATTCATGACTCAATGTGTGAAATACCACATGTTCAACTTAGTCTCATAATAAAAACAGTTATTAAAGTGTTCTACATTTTTCAAGCAACACCATTGTAGCTGGTTGACACTTTTGTGGCTGGTTGGCATTTTTTTTCCGTGCTGTAATTATTTAGATTGTGTAGCATGTCTAAATTTATTGTGCAATTAACCAGTTAGCTGCACAATAAATGTAATGTGCATCATGGGATTTAGAAAGCAACACAAGTTTGTCTTTGCTCTGTGAATGCTACAAAGCAATTCCGTAAAGACTGAATTCCTTGGTTTTTTTGCATACCTGAGGAAGAATCACTATTTGGTCTTAAAGAGTTTTTTTGCTTTATGGCAAATAAACACTAAGTTTTTCAATTAAGATTATCTTCTGCCAGTTCATCTCACCAAGGTGATGTTTGCAGAAGTGAACAGTGACTTGTTTCACTCTCATAGTTTGTCATATGAAACATTTTGGAACACTTCTGACATTCACATTTTAATTCTACTGACTTATTCCCACATTGTCCAGATGCAATAACTATATATACTTTAAATTACAACTGTCATTGTTTATTACTGTTTTGGCTACATTCTCTACAATTTCAGCAGCATCTGAGAGACAGTTAATGTATCTTTATGTACAATGAAAAACAAAAATGGCTTGCAACATCAGGAACAAGAGCCACAGTTTGACTGTACAATATTAAATGAAAACCTGTGGTAATACAGCCTCCTTTTTCTGCAACATGGACAAAATTACAGATAGGTATTCAGCAACATGAATGTGACAGTAAAAAGAATAATGAATGGGGGGGCGGAGAGAGAGATAAAGCATTCTGAAAAATAAATTTCTACCAGACAAGGCAGTTAAGAAAATGTTTCACATTTTAAAATATCTGTACAAGCCACAAGAAACATTCCCTTGTTGATAGGAACTTCCAGAAATAGAGAATAACCATGAACAACTTCTACAGCTAGTATCAATGTGCTCTACAGGTTGAGAGCACAAGAAACTGACTTAAGGAACTGTACTGTATATGTCCAACACAGATCTGTTTTACATGCCTTGATTGTTTATGAATTATCTACTTTTAATCTCTCTTACGTACAGTTGACTTGCACCTTAAGGAGGTCATTTGATTCTTTTGCAAAAGTAAAAGCAACATCATTTAGCAGCAATTAAAAGCGCCTTCAAGGAGACTTAAAAAAAATACAATATCCAATTAGAAAAAGCCATACTTTAAACATTTGTACAGGAGTAAGTTGCTGAAATTTAATAACTGAAAATATGACATCTGTACAACAATTTACAATAGAGCTAGAAGGGAATTTATCATTATCCTGCATAGAACATTATACATGACCTATCTGCATTTGGTTTCATACTGTCATTTGCTTTTATTGCAAAGCCTGGAAACTTGTCACAAGTTTTGACAATGCTGCAAGCATCAGGAATCATATCTGAGCTTTCAAATCTACCTTCATTAAAACAAGAACAATGTTTTCCTTTGTTTTTCTTGAGGTACAAGCCTGCATAGCCAAACACGATATTATACCTTTGTTTGAACAGCCCAATATAGATCTAACTCACTTCTTACTTTGGTTTCAAAAGATGAACCCCTTAGAAAGCAGGTGTTGTTTTGGGTTTTTATGTCCAGGCACTGAACTTTATCTGCATGTTTAAATTTGTCCATTACTCTTCTTCTTTAGTTAAATAATGAAAAACTACCCTTCATGTTAGAACTCTCCAGTATCAACCAAATGTACTTTAAGTATTAAAAAGATTATTTACAATGTTCCCCAGAAAAAACTAAAAACCTTTTCTTCACTCTTAAACACAACACACCTGTTTGTATGCAACAGGCAGTGTCATCCTTCAATGTTTAAAGGTAACACTCTGAAGGGTACATTTTTTCACAGTCCATGATCCATTCTCATCATATAAATGACACTATGAAGGACCTCAGTCTAACAACACAGTTATCAAACTTGCCCCATGTAAAAACACTCAAATGCTTTCAAGCTAAAGTCTGCATCTGGAAACTACACAGAGATACCATGCCAGCCCTCATTTGAAGAAATTTCAGTATGAAATAATGCTTGAAGTAGGTGGTGTAGGGGATGCAGCTAGCCCAGTCATATGCAAATTTCCTGAAGAATTTGATCTTCTCATGTGAGGGAGGAGATAAGGGTCATTAGCCAGCTGGTGGACATCAAATCGATCCTCTTTGCGGTATGCTAAACAGCGTCTGATAAAGGCCTAGGAAAGACAGATAAAAAGTTACTATACTCTTACAAACAAACCAAACAAACAATGAATTCTGTCTGCTAGTCAATTCTTCCTCCAGGTGAGTTAACACAATCTCAAAATTGTTCTAATTAGCAGCTCAGGCCCTAAATACATGTTATTTTTACGAGGCAGCAACAACTAATGGGGCTGCCTGCAAGCTGTCTATGACATGAAGGGCAGTCTCTCTCACCTGATCAAGCCCTACAGCAGGGGTGGGCAAAATGTGGCCTGGATGCGGCCCGCCAGGCCATTCTATCCAGCCCATGGGGCCCCTAAAAAATTTAGACAATTAACATTTATCTGCCCTGGGCTGCCTGTCACGTGACCCTTGATGGCTTGCCAAAACAGTAAGTGCCCCTCTGCCCAAAATAATTGCCTGCCCCTGCCCTACAGCCACTCGAGCCTCATCTGCTGACCAGTGGTGATAGCTGACGGAGCTAACCTGCAAGCTGGTTCTTACAGGACTCCCTGACAAGCTCCTTAGTTGCATGAGCTATCAGGGAGTCAGCCACGCCTCTTCCATCCTCCGGGGGGGGGGGGGAAGAGAGCAAGAGCACGCGCGGAATACTGTGGGATATAGAGAAACCTGTACAAATGTTAATATTTGTTGCAGAAGTTTCCCACAACAGAAGTTGCGGTTTGAAAAAGTAACTTGCGTCACAGATCTGCCATTTTTGTGATGGATTGGCCTTTTTTCTAATATGACAGTGAATGTGTGGACACTTGCAATACACATTATTTTGACACGAGAGAGCATGATGAATGTAATAAGCGTCTGGCCTCAGTGAGACAAAGTAATTAGCAATCAACTAGCAGGCCCCCAGAAATCTGTACCCTCTCAAGGTCAATCCTATGACTTCCTTTTCCAAACATCTACAGTAGTTTACAATTCTACTGTTCAGCTTTATTCTTGGCCTACACTAGTGATTCTTCAATATTAATAAGTATGTAGTTGATTGATGAGTCAACCTATAACAGCAAATCTAAGGTTACTTTAAAACATTAATCTTTCTTCAAAAATATAATGAAGAGACAGAAACAACGTGGACTCCACATTTACATAAATACAAATCAGCATCCTTAAATCACAAAAAAGACGTTGCAAATGCCACCTAAAAATGTTGAATAAATAGCAGAAACAAATGAAAAAGGATTGAAAAGATGGAGCAAAAATGTACCAGGTATGTAAGCTACTGAGTTTTGTATAATCAGAAGCTTATTCTTCCATTCAGTGCTGCTTGAAAAGTTTAGTTTTCTTCCAAAGATCTAATGATATTCTCTGAGGATAAAGATTGCTATAACAGTGTCCCTGAAATTCAGAAGCAGGACCAAGATAGAACCTCCAGAGGGCTCTGCAATGATGACATGACTGTCATCATCTGACACTGACAAAGACTATTCAGCCCCAAATCCAGTATATCCTTTTCAGAGAATCAGATGGTAAATAAGAAGCGAGCAGAAGGTATGTAACATTTTTAGAATTTAAAGATGTCTAACTTTGGTCTGTGGAGCCTGAAGAAAAATCTGTCTGTTGTAAATCAGAGACAGGAGGAGAACCCAAGTGTATTACTGTATTCTAGTCAATCACTCTAATTGAATAAACTTTTTTAAAAATATTTTTGTCTAATCATGACAGAATCTAGTAAATTTTTACATTTAGATAATACTGGATGTCATGTTCATGTGCAGAAGAAATGTCTAATGCTAATGTGTTATGCCCCCCTCCCCCCCGCAAAAAAAAGCCTCAACAAAACCAGGCACTTGCACAAACTACCTTTTCAACAAAATCACAGGCTCTGTTCATTTTATATCATCTGCTATCAGCTCTGAGCATTTTTCTTTACCTTCAGAATTTTAAATACTGCGACACTAGCTGGTCTACATCTGGGTCTCTAGATTTAGTATCAATCCTTCTTCAACGCCAGTTCCTACTCTTAGTTTTCCAGCCAAATGCCCAGCACTAGCTACTTGCACAGCAAGCAAAAACACAAATTTCCTCAGCCTTGTGGGGGCTAAAGCTTTGGCAGTTACTGATGAGAAATCCCACCTACCAATGCCACAGAATTAATTAGCACACCAGGAACATAATAATTAGTATTTAATTAAGAAATAAACTATGGTAAGATTGGTGGGGCAGAAGGAACCTCCTTTTTCTGGTAAAGCAAGTCAGTCTTTTGCCTTTTTTTCCAAAATAAAAAATGAAGATCAAAGAAAAATATTTAATGTTAAGTTACAGAGAAACTAGACCTTCACATTGTAGTCCCATCAGAATTTACTATAGCTATTACACATGCAATAAAATGCAGATCTTTATAAATAGAGTGAGTTACTTTCTACTGGAAAATAAAGGGAAAATCCCATTTATTTGTTAATATTTTAGTATTAAGCAGCTCTTGAGCATTTTCCTTGACTTTTTTAAAGATAAATTAATTGTTGAATAGTTTACAAGTTCCTTGGGAAAGGGGTTTGGTTTTAGACTCTGTCTTAATGTTTCTGCAGTGCCATAAGTGCATGTCTTTTTTAAAATAAGTGACAGAAAATTATTTTAAAGTGGAATTTGCACACTACAAACTAGTAAAATGTTATTCTAGGTTCCATATTTATCGTTCCTCCATACTTTTCACATCAAAATTTTAGATCATAACAGTGTTTTTTTTCTATTTTTTTTTTCTAGCTGGTTTGGTCTGGTCTGTAAATCTGGAAGTTAAGCTGGCTTCTTGCTGGTTTCTAGTATTTGCACCAGAAACTGTCTATAAGTCCAAATCCCAAATGTAGAAAAGTTCTAAATGTAGAAATCTCTCCTGCATACCTTCTGCCAGCTTAAATATTTTGTTATTCTTGTCCCTTGAACCATCATCAAGCTACTCTCCTCTTGAGAAATTAATTTTTAAAAACCAACCCTGAGTTAGCATGCCAGGTGTGCTATGAATTTTTAACGGACCACTAGTACCAGGAACATGTTTCAGGGGCATTTATTTCAGAAACCAAGCTGCTTCTTCAGACTAAGTAGGGCTCTACTCAACTTGGAGGCAGCTGGCCAATTTCACTGGCAGACTGCAGAGCCAGCCACCATTTTTATGGTGACAGAAGCCCACCTCCCCCTCAATTGACTAAGGGTCCCTGGTGGCCCTGCCCTTCACTGCTGACTGGTTGCAAGGGCTGTCCACCATGCAGCCCTGCCCCTCATTGCCAACTGGTGAAAAGGGCTGGGGCTGTATGACAGGCAGCCCTCTCAGCCAATCAGTGGCAAGGGGCAGAAGCAGCAGCCATCATGGACTCCCTTCATGCCGAGAACTCCCCTTCCCCACCCCCCCTCTCCCTAGCAGGTTGTACAGCTGGGCCACAGAAGCCATGAAGACTGTTGTCTCCCTTTGGGGAACCAGCATTTTATTTTCAGTAAGTTTTTTTTATTGTTGTGGATTTCACAGGCAATGCCAGTTTCTGCAATTTCTGCAAAACCCGCAAAAATTGTGATTTGAGGTCCCTATTGATGAGACTAGACAATTTAAACATTCACTATTTTCAGAAGCAGGTTGTATTTTTAATGAAAGTTCTTCATTAGATGTCCCAATGAAACAACAAGACCAACACAAGCAGGGTAATTCCAGGGAAAAAGAAAAGTAGATAGCATTTGAGGCATTTTTGAGTGCTGTTTGAAGTAGTCTGGAATCCTTTAAGAGTGCAGCTGCAAAGAGATCAAGTCAGTTTTGCCAATGCATAGTTTTCTACGACCTGACTTTGAGTAAGACTCAAAAGAAATAATTAAATGAAAGAAAATTACCAAAGATACTTGTCAATCATTTTTCCACATGAGTAGGGATCTCCTTAAGTCATACCAGAAATGCTCCGCCACAGCAGCTCCTTCCATGTTTTTCATTTTGCTGTTTGCCCCTTCCTGCTCCATCCCCAACGGGAGGAGGGGCCCTGCCAGCCAGGCTGTTTGCTACTGACTACTGGGGAAGCAAAAACCTCGCCAGTGATCAGCACCAAACTACCCAGCTGGCAGGACTCCTCTGCCAATCAGGGGATGGGGGAGGGAGATGTGCTGGAATGAAAAACATTAAAAGAAGCTGTTGTGGGAGCACTTCCTGTGTGATTTATGGAGATCCTTACATATGAGATACCTCTACATTAGTGAGAATTTTCCCCCTTGCTTCCAAAGAAGTAAATACTCTAAAAACAATACATTCAATATTTACTTCATGCTAATTAGAGATCCTACAAAATATTACCTTGGCTTCATTGCTTACAACAGGTTTAACTGGGAACTGGACTTCTGTGGCTTTTAATATTGTGTTTTCCTGTAGGATATCTTGTTGTGATTGATTATGACCAAATGGCTGAAAAATAAATTCAGATAAATTTCTTCATGAAAGCTGTCCAAGTATCTCAATTTCACGCTATATTAAATTGTCTGAGTGCTGACAAAAATATCTACTAATCCTTCAGTAAAATGCTATTTTATATGTCAGGCACAATTATTTGTTTCTTTACCTCCTGCAGGACTAATGTGCACAAACTAAAGAAGCACAAGGCATTTTCCATAGAGATTAAGCTTTTTATTACTACAATCTTATGGTCCATAGGGAGAAAGCAAATAGACAAACTTGTACTAAAATTCAGAAAGGTTTTTCCTTACCTTTCTGCCATAAAGACACTGGAAAAAGATGACTCCAACAGACCATACATCAACCTTATTAGAAATCTTTGGTGGCTCTTTGCCAACTACAAAACACTCTGGAGGCAAATACCTGAAGAAAATAAAACCCAAACTCCAGTCACTGCAAGTAGGTAGGCCAGAAAACATGCATTCAACTGAAGTCATAGAACTCGGTTCTATGATACTGACATCTGTTTATTTCCCCACCCCCCACAACCAAGACTGATGTTGCAGTTGTCTTCAGGGTCAGACGGAGAACATGGTTAACCATTATAGGAAGAGATTTCTAATTTCAGAATGTAAAATTAACATTATGTATAAAAGACTCAATCCGTTACCTCAACTACTGGAATTCCTGGGAGCGAAGGGGCTGCAGCGGAGCAGTTGGGTGGGGGGTAGAGGCTGGTGGGGGAGGGGGGTAGAGGCAGGGAGGGAAATAGGCAGCAGCTGTGGTTCTGGCTCTAACCTGGGGTTGGGGCTGGAACTACTGCAGCAGCTGCCTTCCCCACCCCGGTTTGTACTCAGTTCCAAGACGAGACACTCCCTGCCCCGCCCCCCAG